CCGTTCCGCAAGCGCACGACCGATCTTGTTGCGACGTGCGCGGGGTGTAAAATGACCCGCCCACCAGGCTCAAGAACCGGTAGAGGAACCACGGAAAGCTGACCCGAGATACGCTTACACTGTGACCACACTTGCGACACAGGAGCGAAACGATTTAGACGTCTCACGCAATCTTGCCAGGAGACGCGCTTTGCCTTCAGAATGGTACGCCAGGCTAAAGCTCTAGCATTCCTTAATGCAATTAAATTACCGGTTGTGGCGTGACGGCCAAAGGCCCGAAAGGCCCGCCTACGTGTCCGGATACCAGCTCGGCACTCGTCGGTCCACCACGCCACCGGCTACGACGAGGAGCCTCAGATGTCTTTGGCATGCTTGTGTTCGATGCACGTAAAAGCGCGGACTTGAAGTGTTCGATCGAGTAGTTTGCACCATCCACGGCCTGTGCACCAAAGTACATCTCTAGCTGAGACTCAAACTTACTCCAGTCTGTTTTTTTTTTTAAGAACCCGTCGCCGTGGTGGAGGGACGAGCACTGCCCCGTCATAGTACTCCAACCACGCTAGGAAGTGGTTGCTTCCCGCACGTTGCTGTTATCACAACCCCATAAGGTATGGTGCGCGTTAAAATCTTCCAAGATAGCCAAAGGTATAGGGAGCTCTGCCATCAACTGTCTGAGCGTCACCAATGGAAAACTGAGCCCCGCTGGCAAACACACTGAGCACAGGGTTACAAGACGATGACTACATGAACACGTGCAGCAACAGCTCGGAGCGAGTTTTGTAGCCTCATCTTTTCTAAACACTGGGTAACCTTGGATGGGCAGTGAGAATCCGGCGCAATCTTCGTTTCCTGGAGGCAGGCAGCAACCGGACAACGGTGACTAAGCACAGCGTGCAAATCCTGGGCACTGGTTCGTAGGCCTCTGCAATTCCAGGGTAGAATGGCCTGAGCAAAACCTGGTTCGAAAACGAAGCTTACAACTACGAACGTAGGAAAAAGGTGGGCTGCGTGAAAAGGTGACAGAAAATTGTTTCTGATTGTAAAAAGGAGTAAGCTGACTAGAAGTGTTCTGCCGCACTAGACGAAGCCCCCAACTCCCTGAAGTGCACACGAGGGTGCACACCTCCACTTCGGTGCAGCCTCCCGTCCGCAGAACTCGAACGACCTTCATTCGAGCTTGACTGAAATTTCAGCCGCGCTCGCGGATTTCCCTCGTCCGCCGGCGAGCCTCTCCACATCAATCCGCGATTGGGGGGGGGGGGGGGGGGGGCGGCCCGGGGCGGTAGGAGGATCCAACCGCCTCGGGGACGACGGCGGGGTCGCCGGGGGCGGCAGGGACTGAGCAGGCGCAGCGGAAAGCGGAGGCGGCGGCGGGGGGCCCATTCGGGACGGAACAAGCGGCGGCCCAACGCGCCACCCAGGCGTGGAGGCGCACCCTCCCGAGGACGGCACCCCACCAGCCAACCCAGAGGACGGCACCCCACCAGCCAACCCAGAGGACGGCACCCCACCAGCCAACCCAGAGGACGGCACCCCACCAGCCAACCCAGAGGACGGCACCCCACCAGCCAACCCAGAGGACGGCACCCCGCCAGCCAACCCAGAGGACGGCACCCCACCAGCCAACCCAGAGGACGGCACCCCACCAGCCAACCAAGAGGACGGCACCCCACCAGCCAACCCAGAGGACGGCACCCCACCAGCCAACCCAGAGGACGGCACCCCACCAGCCAACCCAGAGGACGGCACCCCACCAGCCAACCCAGAGGACGGCATCCCACCAGCCAACCCAGAGGACGGCACCCCACCAGCCAACCCGGAGGACGGCACCCCACCAGCCAACCCAGAGGACGGCACCCCACCAGCCAACCAAGAGGACGGCACCCCACCAGCCAACCCGGAGGACGGCACCCCACCAGCCAACCCAGAGGCGGGCGCACCGCTAGCCATCGCCGGCACCGACGCTCCGGCAGACCCCAAGGGAGTGGACTTCTTGCCGTCCCCCGCCGGGGCCGATGAATCGGTAGCCCCGGGGACCGCCTGGCCGCCCTCGCCTGCTCGACCACACGCGCTCGCCTGGCCTCGTGGGCCCTCTTCTCCACCTCACCGCGCCGCAAGGCCTCCATCACTGTCTCGCCGGGTGAAGTCCTGCTCGTAGTTGTTGAGGGAGACGCCGTGGTCGGCTCCTCTTTCCCGGAACGTGTCTGGTTTGCTCGGGAGGGGCGCCCCTCCCGACCTCAGAGTCCACTCCTCGCCCTCCAGCGTCTCTCCGACCGAAGAGACCGGCGGCACGGAGGCCGCCGGCGCCGCAGCCACCGGCGGTGCGACGGGCTCCGCGGACGCAGACGAAACATCCGAACCCGCTGCCGGTCTGCAAGTCAACCCAAATGACTGGGGAAGTGTGATAAACTGCGCCAGGTTCATACAGTCCGAGCTGATCTCATGATGAACCACGTTTGAGTGGGAACGAGTCACTGCACTTGCGTAAGACACTGGGGTGTGAGCTATTGTAAATCTCCCGTGCCTCTCGGAAAGAGATGCGCCGAGAGCACTTGATGGAGATAATCTTTCTCTCGAGAGAGGACGCCCGACAAGCACGGTCAAATGTTATAAGCGGGATCTGGTTTTTGTCGCAATTCACACATTTCGGTGGCACAGCGATGCAGTTCTCGCTAGTGTGGCCAGTCTCAGCACATTTCCCACAAGACGGTTTGTTCCCGCAGTAGTCTTTTGTGTGGCCAGAGCGAAGACGTCGAAAACAGCCCATAGGGCTTGGAACGCACAGGTGAACTTTCACTTTCACGTGACCATCTAGTTCTGAGGGAATATCCACACAGTTGAAAGTACAGATAATATTGTTTGTTGGTACCAGGTGCTCTCGTCTCCTGACCCTCTTCCGACGAGCTTCCACGACGCCGAAACCAGACAGATCATCCACGATATCCTCATCGCTGACGCCTTTCAGGTCAAAACAGTTAATGATCCCGCGAGAATGGTTTTGTTTTGTGAGCTGTTACTGTGATGGGTAGTTACGTCTCGCCTTCCACCTTTATCACTAAGGTGTATGTGAATGATGTCGCTTTCACTGTCTTTTCTGTTTACGCTCCATTCAAAAATTCCGCCTCGAGCGCTCCATTTCTAAGTTTGTCACAGCGCGTCACATTGCCAAGTAGATCACGTCCGCTACGTCGCTGAAAGGGCGACAGATCAGACAAATCTTGTTTGCTGCTGGCAAGGACGAGAATCCAGGGGCAAGACTGAGTAGCCTGCCCGGCGGTCCCCGGTCCTCCCACTCTCCCACCCCTAGTCCGCTCCAACGGGATTGAGTGGCAATTAGTCCGTGGCAGCGGCACTTCACCGGTGCTAAAAGGACCGCTTCGCCCCTCCGCCGAAGCAGAGGGACAGTCGTCCATCCTCGTCAGTCTGAGCCGGTGCCATTTCCGTTGGGGTTGGTTCAATGAAAATCCATGCGAGTTTTTTAAAGCATTCGGGCGCCGGTTTAGACACGGTCGCCGGTCACGTTGAACAACAGTCTATTCCCCCTCCCTCCCCCCCCCCCCCCCCAACGCTGTAGAAGCTGTTTCCACCGTCTGGGTCAACTCTAGTGTGCATGAAGCAGGAAAGGTAAGACCCTGCTCCGAGGGGTTTAACCCCTTCTCGCGGAATAAGGGCGCGGAAGACTGCTTTTGAATACAAGTAGGTCCAAGTTTTTCCGCAAAGCCAATACAATCGGTTACTGTCAGCTTGCTCAGGACGTCGGCAATGTTGCACGTACAAGATCCGTTTGTTTCTGACGTTTTCCCTGCCACAGCGTGTGTTTTGGGTGCGTTCTTTTGTACATGGCACGTACACCTCTTACCTACATCTCCTACCTTTACCTTCACCTTCTTAGGGATGTTTGGTATGTCAAAAGTGAGAACGAGTGAGTCTGTCGACCTTTCGTTTCCACCACGTCTGTTAATTATGCGCTACGTCCTTACGTCAACGTGCGAGGTGAGTCCCTCAGTCACCTCGTCGCTACTCACTCGCTCGAACGCCAGGTAGTACATCACGATGTACCCTCCCATGGTACATCGTGATATACTGTCTTCCAGTCGCCACGAGGCACCCGCAGGATCACGCCTTCGAGCCAAAAACAGGCGTTGGGAGACTGCCGCGACTGACCCGCAGGACAGCTCCCACAACGTCCAGGATCCCTGCATCGCTACCTGCAGATCCAACGGGGTACAGCAAGCCCTAAGCAAGACTGGAGGCTGGGGCCGAGGAATTGCTAATCTCTGCTCTGACCAAAGGAAGAGCCCTTGCGGGAGCCACGTTTCGTCTGGCTCCTCCCCTCTGGCCGGAATGGGCGCTTTACAAGCCCCCCCCCCCTCCCCCCCCCCCCCAGCCGCCTGTAGGATAACTGAAGCACACAATCCCCCCCGACACGTAAAGGCGGTGTGTGCGTGGGAGGGCGGGGGGGGGGATATCATCGCAACGGTCGGCCGCAGAGTCTTGCCAAACGCATCGTTTGGATTCGACGCTGGATTCTACGCTGGATTCTACGCGATTGGCTCGCTGGTCATACACGCATGCCGCTAACAATTTTTGTTCGTTGTGGATGCGACGAGATATCGACATTCCGGCCTTTTTATGTCATATCAATCCTGGTCTGTTTGACATCCAGTTCTACATGATCGGCTCACTGGTCATGTATACTTGCCGCTAACAGATTTTTCCCTGTCAGCACGAAGATTCAGTAGATCCGGATCAGAAGCTCTGCAGCGTTACGCCCGCTACTAGTGGCCGTGCCGCACTGAAGTCTTGGCACCAGTGACGTCACTACAACGTAGGGCGGGAGAAAACCCCACTTACGACAAATAATACGCACAGCGTTCCGCTGCCTCGAATGCCTCTTCGCCTGCGCGCTGTGTCGTTAAATCGAGGACGTACTAGGGACGCGGCAGACTTACTCGCTAGATACCTGTACCCGTACCCAAGAGATGTTTTGGACGACTTCACTCATGTGACTGGAGATAAGAGCATATACGTGTTGCACTCGGTACTCAAAACATAACGACTGCTTCTTCAGTTGCCATGGGGTGTATTGTTGTAAAGCCTAATTATATGCAAATTTAATGAGGGACATGGTTTACGTGCAGCCCAGTTGTATGTCATTCAGCTGTTTGTACCGCAAGGCGTCCCGAGAATGGGATCCACATATTTTGTGCAGCGCATTGACGTGAAGTGCACCGGTCACAAAATTCTTCAAGACGGTCTCTCCTGTGTTCCGTCAAGCCAGCACCCTTTACCCAGTCTGTCCTTTCAGTCATCGACATGTCTGTTGAGACGGTCCTGCGAATATAGAGATACATTCATCCTGGCAATGTACCTGAAGGCTTCCATAGCCTTTCGTCCGTACGTGCCGAGCCGCGCCACTGTGCATGAAACAGTTTGCTCTACACGATTGACTTCCTTCGATAAACAATGAACGAGACCTGTTTTCGTTGATCGTGGGTTGGGTCAACCTTGCCGGCTCACCCACGAACCGATTCCAGAAAGTGACACTTCTGGACAGCATCCGAGGTATTTGCGCTGTTTGCTTACCGGAAATAACGTATTCTACTACAATTGTCGAAAGAATAAAACCTTCCGTGCAATTCCGTGAAGTTCACGTGTTAAGGTGCGCAGTAAAGTATATTGAAAAGTTCAGTTCCACGTGAAGAATTCCGCGACTGAAGTATCTTTTCCTCCGTGAAGCAGAAGCCACGCCACTACGTAGGGCGACAAGATGGCTGCACAGTGAGGCTCGCGCCCGATAGGCCATTCCCATTGGATGCCTTCGCTTCCTTCGTCGGGAGACATAGGGTATGGATGTTGCTCCTGACGCTTGCCGTGGAATGTTGCTTCGATATACATGAATGCGGTCACACTGCCAACTGAGGCGATTCGCGTAAAAGCTGTTGGAGCGGAATGCTCCAGAGGGAGCGGATCATAAGCATGAGCGACGAAACCTATTACCCTTCCTAGTCCAATCCCTCCGGCGTGGCACGGTGCTGCACCTCGGCCCAACTCTTCGCCGGCGGAGTCCGGAGTCGTCACCACAGTTCTGGAGACCGGCTGACGCGGAGCCGGCCACTGCGACGGCGCGCCGGAGCGCTCGGGGGCGTGTAGAACATTTGCTCGTCGCAGTCTGCTGGCGGCGGCGAGTGGGCCGCCGTCGCCACGCCGGTCTCGGACGAGGACAAGCGGGCCTGGCGGGCGGCGGCTCGCGCGGCGCGACCCTGCGCCATCGCCGCTGTCGCAGTGTCAGGCTCGTCGCTGTCCTCCGGCCGTGATGAAGCGGCGCCGACGGCCGCCTGGACACCCCGGCCGCGGCCGCGCGGCAACCTGTGGGCAACCAAAGAATCCATATCTCCGGGGTCGGTGCTCCCCCGGTGCAAAGTCAGCAACGGCTCGACAACGGGTAAAAAACCGTGGCCCGCTGCGTGGCGTCCCGGGGCGACAGTCAGTTCGCACGGCGAAACATCATCACGCCAAGAGTGATAACCTATCTTCAATGAGTTCACCAACGTGCAAACGGGACGCCATAAGACTAGCACACCAGTGAAACCCACGGTCAAGTGAACAAACGGCGACCCATTTGATACCACAGCCTAAGTGTTTTGTCACACTCCGATCCCCGTTCCCCTGTGTATGTCTGCTGCGGACGTGTACCCACTTGGTGTGTTTCTTCTGAGCCCGCTGGTCCAGCACGGCCCGCATGGACGGTGTCAAGTTGTCGTAGCCGACACCGTTAGCGTTGCGCGACTTGACCGCGGCACTCTGGGTCGAGGGTCACACGTGTCAGACGGTCGCCGATCACAGAGCCCCGCCAGAAGCCAGGACAGCCGGCGCACATGACATACAGCGGTGAACATGTACGGCAGCCGCGCACGTCGGACAAACGGTGCAGCGTGACGGCTGCGCTGTGATTCGCACAGCATGAATGCCAGCGTGTGAGTTGGGCACACGGACCGCCGGGCAATTATCGGCAGCAATGGGGGCGAGGCGCAGCGGATGGGCGACACCAACTAGCCCAAAAGAGGAAGGACGCGGCACTGTCATGACGTGCCCCGGCCGGCGGGCCAGTCACCAGCGGCGACTGGCCTGCTGACCCGACAGCCCGGTCACGGTGTCAAAGGTCCCATTAGGTCTCCGCCGCTCTGTTGCTCACCGAGCGGGTGGCGCGGGCCCTCGTCCCGACGCTCTCACCCTCGCTGTCCTCACTGTCGACGAACGGCCGGTTCCGGCAGGACCTGTGACTCACTGCTTGTCTGCGCTTGGTAGCAGCGGACGGCAGCCTTCGGCCTCCCTTGCCGGCCGCCGCCCGCGCCCGAACGTCCGTCGCGTAGTTATCGACGGAAGCGGCCGGCTGCTGTTCATCCTCACTGCTCTGACCGGAGGTGACGTCGACGGGCCGGCCGCGAGCCCGCTGCTTGGGAGCTGCTCGCCGGCGACTGTGAGGCAGCGGAGACGAATCCTGCACCGGCTGGAGGGGGGAGCGGTTACGGCGGTTGGCCGACCGGGCTCTCCCCCGCGCAGGCGCGTCCGACTCCTGCAACAGACCACCACCGGTCGGCCCGGTCACAGGCCACACGACACGGCCCACTGCCGGCATGGCTCCCGCCGGCCCGATTAACAACCAAGCTGTGGCGGTCATGGGCGTACTTCGTACCTCCCCTCCCCCCGCCAGCCACTTGAACACGGAAAAATCGTCGTTGTAGTTTTCAATGAAAAACGCCCCGTGTTCGCGAAATCATCCCTTTTGTACCTTGTTAACAATGTCACGACGTTAGCCGTACCTAAGGGCTTGTCGTATGGCTGCGTCCCGAATCGATAGATGGTTTACAGCATATCTGTTCACTCAAAACTCAAACTAGGCCACCAGGCAATGCCAATGCAATGAGTGTTTAGGGACAATTTTCTTAAAAATGACGAACAGGTTTGCGCATTTATCGATCCGTAAAGTATGTGAAGTTCACCAGATTGGTTAAGGGCAACTAAATCGAACATGGTTACTCAAAGGGTAAAGGCTTCACGAAAATCGTAAGGTGTTCAGTGCAGCTGCGATGAACATTGCACATACGTAAGGGCGGTGCTAATGGTCTTATTGCCCGTTAAATAACAGGAAGAGCGTTCTTGAAATTTCGGCTACAAGCCTTGCAGAAACAGGTGAAGGTTTCTTGAAAATCAACCGAACAATTGTGGAGCAAGCGACAGTCAGCACGCCTGACGACGTAAGGTCATTTTCTGGCCCTAGACCTATGTCAAACTCGCCAAATCCAAGCCGAGCTAAGAACTCGTTCGCGCTGAATTGAGCGAAGGTTTCATGAAAATCCACCGATTGAGTAGTTTCGGAGCATAGGACCGTCAGCAGGATTGACAATAACGCTTATGTCATTTGGTGACCCGTGACCTACACTGGGATCACCAAACCGGAAAAAATAAGTAGCTGGACCCTGCTGAAGCGAATGGCGAGTTTCGTAACCACCGGCAGGGTAGTTTCAGACCATGATACTAGCAAGTCTAAAATCATCCTGTGAGTCCTATAATGACCCGTCACCTACGAACAAGGTCACAAGATTGTATAAGGATCAGTAAATCGACCACTCTGAATCGAATGATAACTGTCGTTTAAATCGGGTTCACAGCTTGGGAGCAATGACTGATCGCAGCATGTGCTTTTCCATCGCGTTTCAGGAACTTTACGCACATTACACGTACACACCTTGCACCTTTTGTAAGGTTGCGGACGATTAAGTTGTCCTTTAACGCCTGGTTCTTCGGCGACATGAGTTCAAAGTTCTTACGCTGGGCTAACAAGTGTCATATAACTGGTTTAACGACTTTACAGTGCCAAGCAATGACCACGTTACCTGCATCTAATATTTTCGGCTGCGCTCATTCTCAAGATTGAGAAGGGTTCAGAAGGCTTAAGTGAAACGCTACGCTTGAAAAGAATCATATATGTAAGAGAAACAAAGCGCAGCATTTGTGGCCCGTTTAATGAACATCTTGGAGACGCACATTTAAGCAGAACATAATCATTATTAAAAAAACATATGGTAGATCGACATGCAACAATGGAGCATATCGCAATAGATGCTGGTTTTATAACTTGATCTGAGCTTTGTCATAACAATTTTGGCAACACTTAAAGACAATACGCTCACCTCAAGACCTCAGCACCGGCAGGCTATAAGGCAACTCCGGCCCACGCTTAACGCACAAACTTCATCATGAGACCCGACTTCAGCAATTTGGGGGAGGGGTTATGCACGCTGCTGGGGTTCAGGTGACACCCGTGGTGCCTGATGATCACGGTGAGCAATTTTCTAATTCGATACTCGATGTGGGTTATTGTACGCTTCCGGCTTAGTCGTGTATTTATGCAGCCTTTAACATAGAACGGTATATGAAGTGTTGGGGCTTGAATAAGTTATCATTTCTGACGTATTTTAAAGGTACTGTCTAAACAGCCTTGGGACATTTTCTGGATTAACGTGTCTCATTAAAAGCGTAATATTTCGCTCAACCTTTCTGGGCTCTATCATTCTTAGGCCCAGGTCCCTGTCCTCCCCGCAGAGGCCGCAGGGCCCTTGTCCCAATGACGTGAACACCTGCCCTATCAGACGGCTCGTCCGCATCTCGTGGCAGTTCCCAAGTCAATGTCACGGACAAACGGTGTCGCCAAGGGACCACGTGACGTGGCCGTCAAATCGCCGGAGAACCGTACCTGATATACAGGGCCTTGCCTCTTCAAATTGAGGACAATTTGAAATACTGAGCACCGTCAACAGAATCGTTGTTTAGTACTATAACGCCGCTTGACTAGTACCTCCTGGTGCATTGAAGGTCATTAACTCAGCATCGGAACTTTGGACTCACAATGTTTTTTCCAAGGTCATGACGCTGAAAAAGGAGAAAACCAGCGCGGCACGCCGAGCTGGTTTTTTTTTTTTGCTTTTGGTTGTTTTTAGTTCTTGTAAGTGTATCTCCTATAGGTTTGGAGCATGACATTGTTATGGGTTCCGACTCTGTGATCTGGCCACATAAATACTTAATTGGCATATCTAGTAGCTAAACCATTCCAGTAATCTCACGTTGAAAACGCACACACATAACTCACTATGTTGGATCGATTGGCGTATAGTTCATGACCACCGGTGCTGTGGTTGAGCATGGGCACGTCAGCAATTGTGGTCCGCAACATAGACGCTTCCAGGATACCAAAGCGTAAGCGGGTGCCGTAAGTTAGCTCGACGTCAAAGAATGGAAGTCTCATCGCATCCTCGTTGAAAGGATTGTCATATGTCAGTAACTAAAATCGATATATTGTCAAAAGTACATGGATTCTGTCGAAACCTACACTGGCTGTTTGAAAAACATCCACAATATTCAATGCATCGTATCAGACAAACGTTCGTCGTTCTATCAAATGGCTTGTGCACGACTCATGTCAACGAAATTGGGCGAGGGTGAAGTTGGTCGTAGCGATCCTTCTCTTGTCCCTCGGGCTATGACTGCCTCCCATCATGACTCAATACCGCCTCCCAACATCAGTCAAGACTGCCTCCCAACATGACTCAATACTGCCTCTCACCATGACTCAAGACTTCCTCTTATTATAATTCAAGACCGCCTCGCGACATGACTCCAGACCGCCTCCCACCATGACTCAAGACTGCCTCCCACTGTAGCTCAAAACCACCTCCCACCATGACTCAAGACTGTCTTCCACCATGACAAGAGGTGAAGTAGAGCATCTAGGGATTCCTTTTCCAGTCACCTAGCTCTGCTGAAAACAAACCGAAGCTGCCAGAGCAGAGCGTTAACGCTACTGTACATGAAATAGCCTACCTGGGCAAATACCACCATCGGAACGTGGGCCGCTTTTAATGCTTAAAAAGTGAGTGCATAAAGCTATTGCTCAACGCTTCAGCACAGACCACGAGACGTCGTCATCAGGACAAAAACGTATGGTATGTTCATTGCACCACACAATACCATTACGGGATGCCATATTCATATGACATCTAAAAACTGTTTTTCTTTATTCATACACTACAAATACTTAGTCCTGAAATTTCAATTACTATGCTGGAGTAAACGGCGTCAGTGCCAGTTTTCTTGTAGGGAAAACAGAAGACCCAATTTGGGCAGGGTCCATATCCGGACGTGCGATCGGGGGGCACCCGCCACCAGTAGCCTGCGACCTTGGCCTCCCCGCCCCGTGCTCCACAGCAGTACCCGTCCAGCCACGCGCCGGCGCGCGCCGCGATGCGCCAGAGCGCCGCCCCCGCCGAGTGCTCCACAGCAGTACCCGTCCAGCCACGCGCCGGCGCGCGCCGCGATGCGCCAGAGCGCCGGCCCCCGCCGCTCACCTCCCCCGGAGAGAAGCGAAGCCGGGCTGGCGGGGAGCCGAGCGCGTGCAGTCCGCTCCGCAGCGCGGCCCGTAGGCCGTCGTAGTCGGGCGTGGCATCAAACGGCATCGCTGCAACCAGCTCCAGGTACCGCTGGATCGCCTCTGTTGGAAGCGGCAGGTGCCGGAGATCAATACTTACACGGCATACCGCCAGATGCAGTACAGCACCCAGCAAAGCATACCGCCAGATGCAGTACAGCACCCAGCAAAGCATACCGCCAGATGCGGTACAGCACCCAGCACAGCATACCATCGCACACCATAGACATGCGGCAATACGATCGGACGCCAGATGGATGCGGCCAATGGCATGACACTGCCTTTTAGCTTTCCACGCCATTTTTTGCACACCTATTCACTTAGAACAATTGGCTCCAGCACACTCAGCAAACCCACGCCAAGACAAATCGTCAAAGATTTAGACCTGCCAGGCATCTAAGCAATTTGTTTTTTCTACATATTTCATAAAAAGAGGTGCCCCGAACCAATGAAGCATTTAATTCCCATGGATCCACATCACAACGGCCTCAGAAAGTAATAGATAGTAAAAATGAAACCCCACTGGTCAGGAAATTTTTTTAGGATCTTGGTAATCGGCACTGCAAAATTATTCTGGCGGCCCCGTGCGGTATTATACGGCCAAACTCAGCGTATAAAAAGCATTGTTTGAGCGACCGTCCGTCTATCTATCGTATGGTGTATAATACAACGCCGGATTCCCTAAACACTGGGCCTACCGAGCGCAAGCTGTAGTTACCAACTTTTCTTGGAAACCGACGATTCACGGACGACTGTCGTCGTTGCATGTAACTTAAATGTGTGTTTTACATTGGCTACAGAGATCACGAAGCGCCCCATACAGCTTGCGCAAAACGACGGACTTTTTGCCAGAGTTTTGCCGAAATTGGGCCCAGAGCGGTGCAGTCCATCCGTGTTTTTAACATAATTGTGTTCGTTCAAGTTTGATTGTTTTGTATTGTTCACGACTTTGTCATTCGTGGTCAGCGTTTTTGACGCGACTACTACAACAAAGCACCAAAGCAAAGGAAAGCACATGGTCACTGTATGTACTTTCCTGACTTGTTTCCACATGACTCCTGTTCCCCAAAGTCAAGGAGTCTCAGGAGAGTGCAAGGGAATCCATTTGCCCTACGAAGAAGAGACAAATGAAGCAAAGAACCATACATAGAGGCAGGCATGAAACGAAGCACATATCGTCATTTAAAAAAGAAACAAACATTAAGTATAGACCCCTACAGCCAACAAAGTACGTATCGCCTCTGACGCTAAGGGTGTCCAATCCGGGGATAATTGGAATCCCTTACAACACGTCTTCTTCAGTATCGCCGGGGAGAGAATACACCCGGCATGACCTCACACTCCATTAAACATCTTGTTCGTTATTGGTGTCCTCGGTTGCGCCGACCGCAGCGGTCATTTCACGTCCATAGCGAGGGCTTTACCCAACTAATAAACTGTGTAAATAGCCCCGCAGTTGATGGTGTTAACGAAACAGACACCTGTTAGGATTTCGCGAAGCGCGAGTTGTCTCCTAGTTTGTAACAGAGCGTCAGGATGAGTCATGCTCTCCAAAGTGACGTCGGCGTTCCTCCACGAGATGCGGACGCGATATAATCACATGGCGAACGCTGAGATCAATACCACATCGATGACAGACAGGCTTATCGGCTCACTCCAACAGATAGCCGTGGGTCGCATACGTGTGGCATACGCGGTCAGCAGAGGACCACCCCTTCCCGCTTCACTTTGCGACAAGGTAAGTACTGACCCAGCTGGGGTTTTATTGCTCGGAGCTTATCAACATCTGTACCGTCCTAACAACGCTGCAACTTGTTGTGCACCAAAGGATTTTATTGCAGGGTTGAAGTCTAGCAGGGGTGGAGAACACACACATGGAGCCAGCGCTGCTCGCCCGGCGGCCGCGTCAGCCAACTCGTTACCCGCGATCCCAACGTGACTGGGATGCTCAACAGGACGCGAAAAAACTGCGTTCATGCCGGATGCGATAGGAAATGTCGCACCTCAAGCGCATAACCCATACAGACCATTTTCCTCGCCGCTGACAGGGGCGGCTCGTGTGATTCTGCCATGAGGTTTACGATGAGTGATATGCGGAACGCCCCTGTGATAGCACGCGGAGCGGTGTGGTGGACGGTGTCAAGGATGCGTTTGGTAGATTCACACGCGCTGCGATCAATAAAACGGGCGTGGTCCAGCTTAGAGCGTATAATTGTGCGGTACAATAGCAAAACCGTGCTTTGATCTCCTCCATTACATAAGCGCGCAACACATTTCAGTATGCTCAAAGAATTCAAACAGCGTCTCCGTAGCGTCTTAAGATGAACGTTATACGTTAGCTGGCAGGATGGTTCCTAGCCACAGACTTAGTTGGCATGCGTTGGCTATACGGAAGAATACCGGCCACCGCATCGCCAACTACGATAACAATGCAACTACGGTCTTGTTATTTGAAAGCCTGAACCAGTTTATGGTATCCCAGTTCTCAACACGGTCCACAGCCAGCTGGAGATGCCGATCCATCGATGGCGCTCTTGCTGCGCTTGTCCAAATGGTAAAATCATTAACAAAAAAGTTGCCATCCGCAGACTACGGCAACCCAGCCCCGATATTGTTAATCATAACGGCGAACATTGGTACGCTCAGGACACCACCTTGGGGCACACCGTTAACTTGATGGTACGTCTCAGAAAGCACATCCCAACACGGGCGCGGAAACAACAGTCGACTTAAAACTTTTGAAGAGAAGTGCCCAGACAGCCCCCTATACCATACCTATATAGCTTTAAAAGAATGGCATGACACCATGTGACGACAAAGACGCCCTCTTTGTCAAAAAGCCATCTTTCTATCTTCCCTATCAGCTTAGAAAACGATGATGTGAGAGAAACGGATCTATATGTAAAGGATCCCACCCACTCCTAACCGGTTTTCAAAGGGGACGACATAAGCTGATGATGATGATGATTTGGGCTTTGGGGCGCACCGACTACGTTGGTCATATGGCGCCCATAACCTACTTTTTATCTAACAGTTGCTTGAAAAAGCGGGGAGATGAGGTTTGGTTCGATATATGACATGAAAGTGTACGTCTTCAAGATAACTAAAAATGCGACCGTCATGCACTGAGCTGGAATCGTCTCCCAACATACCACAGAGCGTTGGACGCAAGAATCCAGATCCAAAATGGCGCATACGTTCCAAGGCGAGGTGGGCACAATCTATCAAGACATGTCGTACGGTGTAACGATCCCCGCAGCGAGGACACCGCGGTTGGTCTTCCCCGCATAACAGGTATCGGTGAGTTGCGTATGTGTGGCCTATTCTCAGCCGGCATAGCGTCACTTCCTCCCGCCTCATCCTACGAGAGCTGGACGCCCATGGTCCCAACCGGGGCTTTATCTCTCTCAGTTTATTGGCACCATGCACATCCCAATTCGCTTGCCACTGCTTCAACATAAAGGCAGATACTACTGCATACAGGTCGTTAGCGGGGGCTGTCATAGTAAGGATTTCAGATGCGTGTGTGGCACGCCTTGCTGCGGCATCAGCTACTTCATTATCCGATATGCCAACGTGGCTCGGTATCCAGCAGAATACCACCTGCTTCCCGGATCGCGACAGTGTGGTAAGAAGAGTTAAAATGTTCTGAACGATGAAATGTGATGAATCTAAATCTTGCAGTGTCATCAGGCTACTAGGAGAGTCCGGTAAAACTAAATGTTGGTCGTCACTGTCAACTTCAATGAAATGGAGTGCATTAAGAATGGCTATTAGCTCGGATGTGAAGACCGATGCGTGACCATGCAAAGCAAAAGATCGTGTAACAGGACCTTGGACAAAAGCACATCCAACACCGGCATCCGCTTTCGAACCGTCCGTGTAGGTCTTCTTGTGATCCGGGTACGACACGATCAGCTCCAAAGATCTCAGCCGAAACTCATCCGGAGACGCCCGCCCCTTCGCGAAATGGGAAAGTGAGACATCCACCGCTGGTGGATACAGCCTCCAAGGAGGGGTCTCAGGAATTTCCCAACGGATCACATGCCGTGTGCGAATATCACATTCTTGTAAAAGTACGAACATCCTCACACAGAAAGGTGCGATCCGATGTACTGTCCCAGTCAGAAACATGCGTAGTGTGCGGCGGGAGAAGACCCACTTGTATATTGGGTGATCGGGAAACTGTGCCAACTTACAGGCGTATCTCACGCCTAATATTTGTATCCTAGTGGACAAAGGGGGCTCGTGGGCCTCAACAAGGAGGCTCGCTGTCGGAGAGGTCCTGAACGCGCCTGTTGCGATACGTAAGGCAGTATGATGTACGGTATCCAATGAGCGCTTTGCTGACTCACAAGCGCCGTCATAAACAAAGGAAGCATAGTCCAGCTTCGATCTGATGAGAGCGATAGAAGAGCAAGAGCGTTTTCCTGTCCGCACCTATGACGCGTGAGCAATGCACTTGAAGCTGCTCGCCAAGAAACTATAAATTCACCTCTGGCCCAAAGCGAATTAAAAACCACTGATCGAACGCGAAGCACGCGAGACGGCAGATGTTTGAGCATATCGCTGTGCACAGTAACAGGACCTTCTCACATGCTGCAAAATCTGGCCGTTGCCGATTCCAACTCGACCAGGGCGAATGAGTCATTATATGAACGTCATTCACTCGGAAAAGTCTACTGCAAATTGCTCACATCGCGTTCTACGCCGCACACATCGTGGATTTGTGTCACCACCTACACTGCAGTGGGCAATCTCGTTCGCAACATCCAACGGGCGCGTCACAACCTGAACGTTCAAGCATAGCACCGGAAGAGGCATAGGTAAAAACTTCCTCAGAACACGCTTGATTCGATCCCAAATCTGCGATGTTGGTTTAGCATAAAACGGTTAAGTGTGGTTTAACGTGTAAACGGTTTTAGCGTGCTCACGTAAGCGCCCCAGGAAGCACGCTGTGCTTCCCTTACCGTGCCATGAGCAAAAGCTGTCGCCTCCTTAAAGGCTTTTAGGTTGGCCACGTTACTCATAGCGCCAAAAGCTCGAAACGCACGTTGATGATG